GAAAATTAACTCTATCCCAGCCGAAACCAGGACAATGTTACAAAGGTATGTTCTGGGGGGGAGCGTGCAAAATCTGTGTATCTTTTGCAAATGTGTGCAGAAGCACGCATCTGAAAGCAAACTGCTTTTCTGCTTCTCCCCACAAATCCCTCAAATATATATACTCTTTTCTGCTCTTTCATGATGCCGAAAGGTGACCTCATGCTTTCTTCCTTTCAAGAGGGGACAGGATTTTTTGTTGTATTACGAGTACCTAGCCTTGACATCTCTTAACAACTGAGTAATCTGGCAGTCCGTAGGAGATCTCGATCATGGTTTCGCATGTGGTGCTGGAAGCGTGAGCTCTTGCTCGGTCATCCCTGCCCAGTTAAAGGAGAGAATATGTTGACTGAAAGCTGCATCACATTATCATCCTCTTATATTTGAAGTCATGGTCTGGTTTTCCAGAGACCAATTATTCCAAAGCCTGTTCTCCTGAAAATACTGTTCAGGGGAAATATTTTAACATTAATGCTAAGAAGCCCCCCAAAATACATTCTCTGAAGCTGTTTGCATGCACAAATGAGAAATAAACAAGGCAAAAATTTATTTTCTGTAAAGCTCAACTATAAATTACTCCTGAAATAGCTCCTGTGACTCTGTGCAGCTCCAGGCCACTGCATCCATTACTTTGAATGTAAAACTTAATGTCATCAGCTTGTTTTTATCATTCTGTGCTTCAGCAGAGTGCAGGAACCTCGCTATAAAATACAATTCTGTTAATATGAGAAGTGATGATGTTGGAGTAAGTGACATACTCAAATGAAGTAATAAAAAAATTCTAGACTTTTTTGTATTTTTATTTTAAGATCCAAATACCTCATTGGAAAAATATTTAAACTGTTTGAAGCTTGCCAAATGCATTAAATGGCCAGGAGAAACAAAACATCACTGGGACTCTCATACAAAAATTCTGGGTTTTGGAATGTACCCAATTTTACTTGCTCATCTGCTGCCTCCTCTTATTTGGGGCCAGTTAAGATAGTTTTGGAAACTGAGCATCTACTCGTGTATACATTTAGCTCAGAGTTACTTTGCCCATATCTGACCAATGAGCTCACTCATGAAAATGAACTCTCATGGCTTAATGTTTGCTGGATCTGCCTGGAAATGTGTAATAATGGATTTCTTGTTTTTCTGCTTCAACAATAGAGTCAAGGGACAAATTCCTGAGTTGCACTATTTAAAAAAAAAAAAAAAGTAAAAAAGAAGAGACAGCTGTATGAGTGGGACTGGGGCTGTTGTAAGGCAGCTCAAACAATGGGTTGCTCTTAGGTAGATGAAGAGAATGGGCCTCACAAATGGATATTGATCTGTAGCAGCTGGGACTTGAGGAAGGGGTTGGGGGACAAGCGTACATTACTCTTACAGCTGTCAGCCTTTCCATGGCTGACTTTGTTTTGCTGGTAAATTTGTGTTTGTAGTACAAAGCTATATTGTTTTCCATTCATATTTAATGTAGCTATATTTGTGTGTGTGAGGATGATAAAGTTTAATAACCTCTATAGCAGTTGGGCAGAAAAAAATGATTGATACGGCTTCTTGGAATTTCACTGCAGCAAGTAAATTTTCTGAAGTTATGTATGCATCCTTTACAGAGTTAGTGGACAGTTAAAACTCCTGGGGAAGAAGCAAAGCTGTAAGCCTGTCTCTCTTTTAATTGGATTTATTTATTTGATTATAGTTGTAGTCTTTTCCATTTGATGCTACTGTTTCATCTCCTATTATGCACTCGGTGCCCAGCATTTTCTCATAGTGCTTGAATTGTTTTTGTAGAAGGAATGTCAAGGGGATCTAGGAAATTCCTACAATTGACTGTGCTTGCAAAAGAAATAGCTGAATTGAGGTGAAATAAATTATTAGGTGAGATGTGAGCTGGACAAATGGGAGGGAAGCCTATTTCTTTGCAAATTGAGATTTGAAACCTTCTGGCAGGATTTGTTACCTTCCAGTTATGATTACTAAAATGTTCCATGATTTGGTATTTCATGGATTTATTGTCGGGAAACTATTGTCTGCTTGGAACGGTTCAAAGAATAACCCCATTCTGAACTGTTTTTAATGGGAGCCCACTTAGAATATGCTAAAGTTAATTACTGTGCTGTTTTCCCTGAAACACCCAAAAAACCTTTAAATAATTTTTAAAGCGGTCTGTCTGTCTTTCTCCTTTCTTAAACGGATTATTCTGAAATTGAGGGAGTGATTGGAACATAATCCTTTCTGGACACTCACAGCACTGTTCCAGGGCTAGGAAGGCAGCGGAGGGTGAGGAGGCTCCATGAGTGCCTGAAAAATGAGTGCAAACTCAAGATCGCTTAGATTTACAAAGCCAAATCCTGGGCTCACTCTCGTCAATGGCAAAGCTCTCACTGGAGCAAGCATTTGGTCCACAGCCGTGGAGCAGGCTCTGCTGGGGCGGGTGGGAGTGGGCAAGGAGGAGTGGGGCTGCATGGAAGCAGGGTGAACAGCAGAGCTCCAGCTGGGTGAATGCAAGGTGGGAGAGAGGGGAGCTTCAATAAGCAGATGCAGGCAAGGGAGTGAAGGCATTTGGGTGTAGGGAGCTGGGTAGGAAGGGAAGAGAAGGAAGAGCTGCTGTATGAAGGCCAACAGCAAGGAAGGAAAAGGCAACTAAAATAAACAGATGGGATAGACAGTAAGGGGATAATATTGAGCAGTGAAACAGATAACAGAAGGCCTTGGGAAGCACAATTGTAAGGGGAGGAATTGGAAAATATAAAAGGGTCACTCGGGGACAGGCTGTTGAGGGAAACAAGTGAGGTCAATTGCCCAGTGCTCTGCTATGCTGGGTTGCAAAGCAAATCATCTGCGTGGGTAAAAATAGGAAGGGAGTCGTGTCTCAGCTGCTGCTCAGGTTCCCCTTTCCTTGTGCACTTCATGCCAGCGCTATTCAAGGAGGTGTCGATAAAGGACTCTGCAGAGAGCACAGTGGGAGCACGAATTAAGGTGTTTTGGCATGATTGTGTTGGCTAAGGCATGTGAAATGAGACAAAACCATTTTGGTTTTTTTGTCGCTTCCCTTTCCCCAAAAAGGCCAACAGGTAGGTAGTTCATTAGAGAAAAGCAGGTGCCATCCAATGGGGCATACAGTGGAGCAAGAAGAGTGTCCACACGCATACAGAAAACGCGCGTGCCCCTTAAGTGGGCTAGTAAAGGGGCAAACTTGTTTTGGTGTTTTGCATGCAGTACGAACAGAGGTTGTTCATGGAATTCAAAATGGTTCATGGAAATAGCATGTTGTAACACAAGAACAGAACAGCAGCGGTGTGCGCACTGCAGGCTTACGCTTGACGTAGATGAACTGTGTCACAAAACAGGACTAAACCAACAGCCAAAGTGTTCAGACACCCACGTGCTAATGTTCCTGTGCTGCCTACTGGTAAGGACGGCAAGATGCGGAGCAATGCAATGCAATTTCTTTCCATGTAATACAAATTATAAACTTCTTTTGGCATTTTTTTAGGCAAGACAGCAAGCCCAGCTGCGACATCAAATGGCAGAAGACAGCAAAGCGGAATATTCTTCCATTCTGCAGAAGTTCAACAGTGAGCAGCATGATCATTACTACACACACATACCAAACATCTTCCAGGTAAGGGTCACTGGCACTGATCTAGAGTAGCTCATAATGTTGTGACAAGAACAGAGGGGCCTACTGCACGCCACCTCAATTCTGTGACCCTGCCTTTTACTTTTTGGTGATTTTTGTCACTGTTAGCAAATTTTATATACAGTCTGCCAACACAAGAGATGGAGAGCTTGGTAGGATAAGTTGTCCCTTTCTCTTACACTAGATATCAAGTGATCAGTAATATATGAGGAAGGTGACATTGAGTTGTCATGACAGATTACAATAGTCTTTGGAATCCTCGCGGTCTTGCTCTGTTAAACTCCTGTGTCCATGCAGCTGGGGAATGAGAGCATTATTTGCATTGTTGGGGCAGGAGTCAGCTGGGCATCATTACATCTGTAAAGCCTCACAGCCCTTTATAACTTGTCTTCAAATCAGACTTCACAGATGTTTAAATTTAAACCACAGTAATTCTGCAGTAGTGAATGTCAAAGGGTTTAAACAAGCTTGCTGATTATGTCTTAGGGTGCCTAAAGAAAGACTAGGGAAAGTACAAAAAAGCCATCAGATTTATACTGACTGAAGATCTGAGTTTGTGCTTGACTGAACAAAGAGAGATTAATGTAGTAGAGGAGAAGTTCTAAGTGACTGTTCCATTGTAACGGGTCATAAGCATCAGAAGTGGAAAATACCTCTTTAAGTGAGAAACTGTCACATGCTTATCATCCTGATGAGAAAGAACTGATATTTGAGTAGCAAATAGGCATTTTCTTATCCGTAGCTGGAACTTCTTAGCTAAATGGACACCTCCTTTTTTGCTTCGTGGTATTTCAAACCAATGTCTTGAGGTAATTATCCCTGGCATCGGATATAAAATTCTTGCAATATATTTGTATTTGCCAGATCTAGCATTAAGTGCTCTGATTTGTAGGTGAGCATGCTTAAAGTACTGCAGAAGTATCCTTTTCACTACCAGTGCACCAGTAAGCTCTGGTGCTTTCTTTTAGATGTTGAAACCACAAGTTGTTTTGTAAATAATTTATGTTGCTTGTGGATTAGTGAAGGCAATGAGGATTTTTAAGTTGACAATGCTCCATAAGATTCCTGCAGTCTAATGTGAAACAGGCAGTTCTTGTTCATGCCCTTCTGTATGCTGTTATAATCTGCCATAAGAGCATTATGCCACATCCAGTTTCCCTCTGTTGTAAACAAGAGGTCTATGGAACAGATGCTGGAGATCATGGCACTGAATCCATTGAGCAATAGGGAGCATATGTCGAGAAGCCCTGGTGTGAAGAATATATGATGTACAGGACTGCCTGTAAACCAAAAATTACCTTCTAGGGAAAAGGAGAAGGGGGGACATAAAGATTTCTGTTTGCTCGGATTCTGCAATGGAATGAAAATAAGATCTTTCAGAACATGCATAGAAAATGAAGGAATTTATTGTTGCAGAAATTCTCTTAACAGCCGTAGGAGCTATCCTTACAAAAATCTAAAGCTGGGGTTTTGACAAATGAGCATTTTTTAACATAAAAAATTAATTGAAAAAATTCCAGTAATAGTAACAGAGATTACTTTTAGAATGTAATTTTGATGTTTGAGGGAACAATATCACTTGGTGCCTTCATGAGAACAGCTGTCCTAGTTTGTTCTTAAAAAAAATATTTAAACCATAAATCTTAAAGCAGCTGATGTATGCTGAGGAGAAAAATGTGCTGAAACTGTGAGGTTAATCTTGATATTTGATCTGAACGAAATCTAATGTTTTAGAAAATACAAGAGATGGAGGAAAGAAGAATCTTAAGGATAGGTGAATCCATGAAAACTTTTGCAGAGGTCGACCGCCAAGTGATCCCTATCATTGGAAAGTGTCTGGATGAAATAACAAAGGCTGCAGAATCAATTGATCACAAGAACGTAAGTGTTGCATTGTTTCGATTGTTGATTGTCATCTTTAGTATTGATCAGTTTTATATATGGAGACTTAAATCCTAGGTCCAGGCTGCAGCACGAGGGCTTTATAGTCATAGAACTAAACCAAAGAATAGCTTCTTGTCCCAAGCTACTTTGTCTGAAGCAAGATGTGCTCAGATTATTTCCCAAATCTACTTAACACACAGAAATGCCTCTACTGCCGCACTTTTTTTTTTCTTTTAGAAATATTCTCTCCTTTTACTAGGATAATTACTTTTTGAAATACTGTAATTGAAAAAAGCTTCTGTGTAGATTAAGGAAGATGATGGGCATAATTCCAGATGCCTAATGATCACCAATTCGTATTTGGATGGGTTCTATGTCTAATAGAAAACTGAATGTTGCCAGAAATGTCTTCATTCCAGTTAGTTTTATAATAATGGAAGTATTTAAAGTTTTGGCTACCTAAATGATTGCAAACAACACTGGCAAAATTTCTACTTTACTGTAAAATCCTTCTTTGCAGATTTGAGGTTTGCTAGCAATCTATAAATGAGGTCTTGCAAGTCTTGATTTCTGAACATCATTGTAGGAGTAAAAAGAAGCCTTCCTGATAAAAAGGCTGATAGAGAGTTCAGTTGAGCTTCCTGATGTACTGCTAGCACAAGGGCAAATGTGGTTTTTATTTTGTTTTCAGAATTATCTGCTCCCTTCGTAAATGAAGTCTCTGCTTGCTCTTTTAGACTTTCTCATGGATCACATCAGTGCTTCAAATACAAACAGCATGTGTCTTGCTGGCTGTTTGAATTTCTCATACGTCTTTTTCACTGGAATCTTTTCTGAGCTATTCAGTGCCCAGAACCTGGAGACTGCCATTAATTGGCAGCATAAGCCTGGGGCTGAAGTTTTGAAATGAATGCGCTAGTTTCTGCTCAGCAATTGCTCTCTCAGAGAGCAGCATAGGAGACCAAGGAATCTTGAAAATTACTCTTTCAGGGTGGGAGAAGGGGGAGTTGGGGCACAGATTCCCGTGTTAGAACAATGTATCCTTCTTGAGGTACAGCTTTTGGTGCTGCATGGTGAAATCATGTTGGGGAGATTCATATCTAAGCCTATACTCTGCCTGAATCTTCAGGTGAGGTCTTAGCAAAACACACATGAGGCTTGGGCTAGGTGTTTGAATCACCGTGAATTTTATATTCAAGGTAGTCTCTCTTGCACACAGACAAGTCGGATTGATGGCTCGTGTGCACAAGTATGACATTAGACAATGGTGGCTTTGAGCATTGATAAGTAAGGGGTCTCCTGTAAATACCATGCTAACAAAAATGTATTTAACCAAATTTGTTATATCTGAACAATTACAAAGGGCTTAGCGTGTTGTGTCTGGAAAACAGTTATGTCCATAAAGGGTTGGGGTTTTTTTCTTAAATATCATCAAGGAATTTTTTTCGTCTCTGGAACAGAGGTTTCTAGCTTTCTTGATTCTGATGAAGGTGATATGCTTGTTCCTGCCCTTCTGCAGGATGCAGGTTCTGATACTTTATAAGGGTGGCCATAGGTGAGCACAGTAGCAATTTAGAAGTTGTATCTTCTCTGTGTCCAGATCATGTACTGCTTTTACCACTAATGCAGCGTGTTATAGCAGACCTTTCCCATCTGACCCCTTCATGTTCTAAGAAGCAAGTTTGGGCTCACTTCGGCCACCATCAGGAGAGTTTCTCCTTTTCCTCAAAAGTTTCAGAGTGAGGGTTGTCTCCTTTACTCATCTTTTTCAAGCTTGAAAAACTTTGGATAAAAAAAGTCAACTAGATCTGAGCTGTAGTCAACTTTGAAAATGAGGTCAGATTCCAGGAAAGTTGAATGCAAGGACAGCTGGTGATAATACAGCTAGTACAATGGTGAGCAAAACCAAGAGCCTGCTGAGCAGGAAAAGCTTTGTGTGAAACTCTGGGCCCACACAGACATGAGTTTCCCAGCTGGGAGGAGATCTCCAGGATCTGGTAATCATAAACAAACATACAGTATTGCCAAATTTGAAATGTATAATGTCAGCCACTGTGACACTGACAAAAGGCAGTGATACATTTGGAGTTCTTATTTAGCTCTTGGTATCCTTTAGCTTTATTTTCACTTTTTCTACCCAGCTATCACATCCAGAGTTACTGAAGAAGGGGAGAGGGTAAATGAAAGCTGTGCTCTTTGTGCAGTAACTTCAATTCAGAAACCAGAGCTTTAAATAGAACAACCACAACTAATATAGAAGATGTATTGGTCAGAAAGGGGGGTGGGGGGGAGTATTACAGAGAGAGCACCAATTCTTAGTAACTTAGCCTGAGTATCAAACTGTGTGTCAACTCTAGATGAAAGGATGTAAGAATCTGCAAGTTTTGCAGGTGTGGTGGTAGGGTTTTTTGGGGTTGGGGTTTTTTTTTGTTTTGTTTTGTTTTCTGTCAGTAAAACATTACCATCTGATGGTAAGGAATTGCTGTTTAAAAAGGAAAATCAAAATAAAAGCAGCAGAACTTTGCACTTCATGTAGGTGTCTCGGAGCTTTTTGATAAACTTACCTGAAGCTGAAAATTGATTATTACAAACATTGTTCTATGTAGGGGCGGTTCCTATGGCATCTACGGACCACCATGATTTCTAGCATGAGAATTGTGTAGTACAATAGGAAGGAAGGTTGTAGTTCCATAGTGACTTTGAAACTGTGGAAGTGCAGACTGCTAACAACAGGCTTCCTTTCCATGGCCAGCTCTGTGTTCCCTCCCTCTGGGGGTGTTAGTAAGTATTATGGAAGACCACTTTTCTTCCAGGGCCCTTATTTCATTGGATAATATTAAGAACCAGAATGACATATCGTAGAATTATAGAATCATTTAGGTTGGAAAAGACCTTTAAGATCATCAAGTCCAACCGTTAACCTAGTACTGCCAAGTCCACCACTAAACCAAAGGTCAGTCCCAAGAGATTATTTTAAAACACAGTACTGCACATCTGCTGAGGAGTAGAACAGCTTTAATTGTAAGATGGATTTTTACGTAGCTTCTGACCTTTCTTCTAATTGAGGCCTAAGAAGAAAAAAAAAAGAGGAAAAGCTATATGTCATTTCATGGGACAGATTTAATGCTTTCTATATTCTCTGCAGCTTAAATATTACAAAGTTCTGCTTCATGCCCACTTGCAAAATAGCCAGTTTTTCGGGCTTAGTTACTAGATTTGTAACTGTGTAAATAGGATTGCTTGATGTCCTTGCTGAAGTGTATAGAATTCCCGCTAATAGCAGTAGAAACTGGGAATACTGGTTAGCCCTGCGTTTCTAATGCAGTTGTAAATACGCTTCTTTTTCATCTCTTCTTTCTAACAGCTTGGACAATGCAGAGGTCATGTTGCAAGGATAAGCTGTAGTGACTGCTGGGTGAACCTATGCAGAATTTGCTTCGGAAGGCTCTAGCAGCAGATAAAATTAATTTGTTATAGACTTTGGAGTTCCTGTTATGACACTATCTCTGTGATATATGGAGCATGCTGGTTATTTTTAGCTCCATTGTAGTGGAAGGATGTTTTGACTAAATGGAAGGAACACTGTAAAATTACGAGGAAAAAAATGAAAAGCTCCGTGCATAGGATAAAATACCAGTAGAGTATTTAATGTAACCTTGTGTGTATTTATAGTCTCTTTTCCTTCTTCATCTTGCTTTCATGACTATTATAAAAAATATCTTCTAAATGTTTAGATCTCAGGAAGTTTTAATGTCAAACTAGGATGAGATAATGGAAAGTGTCGTTCTAGCTCCCTAAAAGTTGTGTAGGACTTGCACAGTGTACCTGATAAATTGAGGATCTTAAACCTTGTAGAATAGAATCACAGAATGCTTTGGGTTGGAAGGGACCTTTAGAGCTCACCCAGCCCAACCCCTGCAGTGAGCAGGGACAGCTTTAACCAGCCCAGGGTGCTCAGAGCCCCGTCCAACCTGGCCTGGGATGTTTCCAGGGATGGGGCCTCCACTGCTTCTCTGGGCAACCTGTGCCAGTGCTTCACCACCCTCAGTGTAAAAAATTTCTTCCTTATATCCAGTTTAAATCTATAGGCCTTAATTTTCTTCACAATTCCATGAAGGCTTTTGCAAAACTCTTCCCATATCTGTATTTTGCTCAGTTGAGCCTGGCCTCTGCATATGTTTATATCCCACTAGATTTCTCGTTAATAGTGTTTTACCTACAGACATGAGCAGAATCTGTGAAATGCAACAAGTTCATCTTTTTAATCTGAGCAGGATGGTGATGCTCTTCTCTAGAGACTAGTAAGATACTTGTGTGCTGTGGTGCAGTTTCTTTAATGATCTTAGAAGAAAACTGTTGGAAAAGTATAACATAAAAAGCTCTCTTCCCAAGAATTCAAGTAGATGAGAAGTGTATTAACATACTTTTTTTTCCTGAGTCCATTAGATTTAAATGTATTTGGCAAGCTGAAGTCTGAATTGGAGCCTATATATAACTAATTGTGTTTGTAGACCTGACTCGGAAAAATGCTATGTATTGTTCTTGCTTTAATTTATTTTTTTTTTCTTTTCCCTCTCTCAAAAAAAGAGAGCAAAACCATCGTACACAGTATACAGCCAGTGTGTGGCTGACTTGCATCTAGCACAGCTAGCAGTGCCAAAAGGGAATGTGGCTTTAATGAGAGCGTGTGGAGTTCCCAGCCACCGCCTGCACCAAGGTGTCGGGCTGCTTGCATGACCTTGGGCTGCTCAGTTGTTTGGTAAAGCTCACAAGATAAACTCCTGTCATTTAGTGTGCCTGAGTTCACAGGCACCAACTTGTCAACTTGTGGCAGTGTGATCACTTGAACTCCTTTATATAGGAGTATTTATTGGGATTTTCCACTAGTTTGCTTACAGCTGCATGCCAGCAATTCTCTACCTTAAATCTTTGTTACGAGTCACTTATCTGTTCAGTTACTGAAGTATGATTGCTTTTCTAGTCAGTAAAGTTAATAATAAGCTCTTAGTCATTTTTACCAGTAGATGTGAAAAAGCCTTTAAAAGGTGTTTGTTTCAGAATTTTGATCTTTGCATTGGAAACAAACCAAAGGAAATGAAAACATTGCTAGGTTGTGGTCAGACTCGGGGGTTGTGCAGCTCAGTGGAAGGTTGGAGTGAGGAGATTTGAGTTTACTCTTCCTAAGTATCGTCTTTAGTTAACTACAATGACTTATGCTTTAATGATAGTTACGTATTTTTTTTATTTTCCAAAATAGACCATAGTCCTCTCCTTTTTATCTCTTGGTATTTTGAGTACTGACTGGTCTCAGTGATACCTTTTCAAAACAGGCTAGAGTTTCATGACGGGAATAATGGACTAAAGCTCACCTGCTTTCTTTCCATAGAGTGATTGTTTATTTAGAGAGTTGTTATGAAACTGAGATTGTAGCCACTTATGTTCCCAGTTGTAATATGTTCTGACTGATATAGGCTGGAAACTTCTGTTCTCTGTGGGGTGGGGTGGTGGTTATGTTCTTAACTGCATTTATCACTGTAGTATCTGGGAGTATTACATTTTACACATTAGAGTGCCTTTATTTGGTAGGATACTATACTGTGCCTAGGTGGCTTTTTTTTTTTAAAGCACATCATGGTAGTGAAAATAGGTCCAAGAAAAGTCTCCTGATCTTGGAGAAGAAGGTGGAGAGACTTGTCTTGATCTTGGCTCTGGAAGGGGTTTTGTTCCCAAGAATGAGAGTGGTCCCTGTAAAGGTTGGTTCCCACACAGGCGAACTTTCTTGTCCTTGTACTGTTTTTCTATGCCAGCAATTTGATGACAGCCCTCATCCGAGATGTTTATACTTGTGCTGGATCTGTCCCATTTCAGGATTCACAGCTGGTAATAGAAGCCTTTAAATCAGGGTTCGAGCCTCCGGGAGATATCGACTTTGAGGACTTCACGCAGCCAATGAAGCGGACTGTCTCAGAATCCAGCCTTTCCAACTCCAGAGGGGATGGGAAGTCTGAGCCAAAGTTTGGTGGCAAATCCAAGGGCAAATTATGGCCATTCATCAAGAAAAATAAGGTACTGACTTGCAAACTTGAGCTTGGTGCTAGTATGTGTATAGTCAATAAACTCTGTCTTGTCTAGTAATCCTGGCAATGACAATTTTTTAAAGAGAATTTTAGATTCAGAAAGTTAATAACTGATGTCTTAATATGGTGTTTTGTTGTAGTCTTTGGTTACTTAAGTTTCCTTATATCTTTAAATTTTTTTTCTTGGTAATTTCTTTAATTATGTTGCAGTTTTTATGTTTATTTAACTTTAGTTGTCACGTCTCTGCCATGGTCCATTTCTGTTCCTAACTCGGAGAAGGAATTGTATACCACTTACCTAGTGCCATGTCTGCTAACTAACATTATTACTTTTGGGAAGCTTGAATGTGGCATTACTGTTTTGACACTTCTAAAACTCTCCTTGGCTTTTTCATTTGCGTTGTCTTTTCAGTCTGTGCACTGGGGTCAGCAGTTGGGTGGCTGGGAACAAGGAATTGCTGCGATTCATTCTTCTTGAGCACAACTAATGGAGCATAACTAACTGAGCAGTTGACTTTTTTAAAAAGACCATATTAACTTATGTATCCATTAAACCTTTTTCATTTCACTGTCATATTTTACACCATAATGCATGGCAGCATTTATCTGGGGTTACCAGAATGTGTCAGGGTGACTGGACTAAATTGGTTTGCAGTAACACTGATGGAAGCCCAGAGTAGCTTCATTGTTTTGATCTCACCCTTGCTCTGACCAATACCAAACCACTTCTACTAATTGCAGGGTCAAAAAAAAATCTACCTGTTCAAAATGGATCATTCCTGTTGTGCTGGTATATGAGAGAACACGGCTGTCTGGTGCTTACATCAGTGTAGCCAGGAAAGAAACCCAGGACTAACTCCTGAGCAAATTCATAGAATAATTTGTAAAAGTGAAGTGTGATGCACATTACTGAGGTATGATTTGAAAGCAGGAAGGAATGTGGTTTGTTGTTTTCCAGATAATAGAAACGCTACTGGGCACTAAGGTACCTTCCTTATCTGATCCATTTAAATTCAGGTATTTGAAAGCTCTATCCATATGCATTATTCTGAGCTGTCCACAGAGCGAGAACAGGGCAATTTATGGGGATAGCACTGCATGGAAGAGTCTGCATGAGCCTCCTGTCAAAATACTTTGTGTTACTCTTCTGTTGCATCACTTACTAAAACTTCCATTTATCACATTCTTCATTTAACACAACTCTTAAATACTGCTTTCCCCCCCTCTTTTGAACCATGGCCTTTAATATTTAATTATTTAATTGTTTTTTTTTCTCTGGATTTCAAATATTGGTTTTGATGCTTATTTTCGTTTTGTGTTTTATCTTTTTATTTTGGTTTATTCTGTCACTTCTCCATCTCTTATACGTAGCTTATGTCCCTTTTAACATCCCCCCATCAGCCCCCTCCTCCTCCCCCTGCCTCTGCCTCACCCTCTGCTGTTCCCAACGGCCCCCAGTCTCCCAAGCAGCAAAAGGAACCCCTCTCCCATCGCTTCAACGAGTTCATGACCTCCAAACCCAAAATCCACTGCTTCAGGAGCCTAAAGCGCGGGGTAAGTTCTCCTCTGGATACCTCTCTCTTTCTTTCTCTTTTCTTTTCTTTCTTGCGCTTTTATTGCACGTTCTGTTATGTAAAAACTTGTTTTGTTTTGTGAATGAATCCATTGTGTTTTATCATAACATGCAGACAAATCCAAGGAATCCCAGCCTATAAAGCCATAAAACCCCACAATGAAACCACAAAAAGTACAGTTGCTGATGGAAATTGCTCATTCAGGTTTTTCTGGGGAGGAGGGATTGTCCAAACTATGGAAGGAAGAGCTGAACATTAAGTAATACTCTGTAGAAGTCAAAGTCATTAATTTAGTAGCCCTGTGTATGTCTGTGGCAGAGTAGGTTTGGAGGAGCACCGTTCAGAGGTTTACTCTGATCCTGATGCTGTACGTTGTCTACCTTTTAATGTGAAAAGTTTTCCTCTCTGCAGGATGCATTCAGCTCAATATCCGTTTCAGGAGGAGGAGAGTAAATTAGGAGGGATTCTAGAAAATAATTCTTCTGACCTCAGTTGGTGCAATTTCAGGCATTTCCCCGAAAAGATCCGACACCTCTTGCTGTAGTAGTGGGAAGATGACTTCCCCATATTTTATGGCCAAGTACGCCTCTCTGTGTGGCTTCTGTTCCAGAGATGCGGCCTCAGCTTGTGCTTCCAGTACTGCAATGTTAGCTTGCTTAGTAAGTCTGAGTCTTAAGATAAAGAAAAGAAAAAAGGTGAGATGTGAAAGATGAACTGATTCTAGGTGGTAATAAAGTTGTTTCTATGGTACACCTGTTTTAAATCAGGGCTACCATGTTGGTGGAGACTGAGGGGGACACACACTGAATTTAATGTTCCCTGTAGTTACCTACATGCATTGATTACAGCTGGCTCCAAGTATTTGGGGCTGACACTTCTCAAGCATCTTAACTGTGTCCTGTAGCATGAAGTTTCAATAAGATAGGAAGGTTTGCTTTGATTCCTGTAGAGAGCCTAAGAAATCCTGCTTCCCAACACGTTTGTTTCTCATGTCTGCATTTGGGCCTACGTGAGCAGATGATGCAGCTTAAACAGCTTTTAAAGTGTCCATAGAAGAATTTAAAATCCTGCCATGCTCTTTAACTTTTTTTTCCTACTTAGTTTTAAATGCTTTTTGCACAGTTTTTATTCTTGACACTTTAAATGTCAATGAAATATCTTTGCAAAAAAACCAAATTGAAAAACTATTTGTAACAGCCACTGATAGCTGCCATTCTTGCAAACTATGGAGGAAAGACATTAACTAGGAGTTTGATAAACAGTATATGATGAACCATTGCAAAACTAGGAAAAAAACCTTCAAGTTCCATGTTTGACTTGTCCTTGCAGCCTTCCCTACACACATTAGCATTAGCACACATTATGTTTTGAGGGATTAGGGTTTGGGGTTTTCCCCTGCCAGCAGCTGAAGTGCAGTGTGTCAGATGCTGGTGTTTGCATTGTACAGCGCAGAGAAGCTGAAAGCCTCCGAGGCTGTCCTTGGGCGTTCAGCTGGGGCTAGATCAAACTGGATCAACGTTTTGTGACACATCACCACTGTTGTAAGTGCAGTGTCCCTGTCTCCTTTGCTGCTGACTGAGAAGGAAGCACAGCCTGAGTTTTCCCAGGTCAACTGCTCAGTTCCTGTCCTTGATTGACATCAGCCATGGCTATATTGGTAAACTGATGTGGAAGTCTTTGTGTTGAATTAAATGCTCTCATTGGTGGTCTTCATAAGCAGTAAGTAAAATGACAGTTCACTGAGATACAATTTTCCATTTTTCAAACAAAAATACTATCTTCCCGGAAGCTTGCACGTGGCCCAGTTGTGCTGAGAAGCTGCTGGCATAGCACAGCTTTGGCTCCTAGGTCAAGGTCCTTAGAATTATTTCCTCCTATAAAAGTTACAGGAAGGAGACACAAGTGTTCAGTATTTTAAAAAGTTTTTTAGAGCAGGCTGTAACAGCAAGGAAGTGACTACTTTAAAAAGCCCAAATTCTGCTCCAGGGACTGCACTGACATTTAGGGCTGAGGGCTGGAGTTGTATAAAAGTAGAGATGATTTCAGTGGTTAGCTACAGAGAATTGAGAACGGTGCTGTAAACAATATTTTGTCTCATCTCGTTGCAGATGTTTTATACAGAGTGGTTTTCAGTTCTTTGCTAAGGAATTGCCATTTAATGGGACATTCAGAACTGCCCCCCCCCAAAAAAAAAAAAAAAAAATTCTGGTGTTTTTCATTGGGGAAGCGGGAAGTTTCAAAGTTGTCCAAAGGCAGGTTCTGTAAATGTACCTCCTTCCCTCAGTTGCAGTTTGGCACAGAGCATCTTTTCTCAGTGGCTTTTATAGGGGGGGGAAACAGTCTTTCAGTTCTGCTTCTGCAGCAGCAAACCTGGGGGCTGTGCTAGGTAGTGGCTGTCTTGGTGGTACCCGCTACGGCGGGTGGGCATCTGGCAGTCGTCTTCACACGGGGTAGCAGTGAGATGCTTTGGAGACTAAGGCACTGCTGAAGGTGAGGGTTTGTGTTGATCTAGTGCTCCAATAGTGCCATTCACGGAATGGAATATTGAAAATAGTGCTGAATATTTCTAACTTGATTTAAAAATACTAGTTTGTAGTTCCATGGGCACTTCACAAGTTTGTATTTCAAATGTACAAATTCTTATTTAGTAAGTATTTGGCCATATAAGCAATTGTGACTAATTGCTTTCAATAGTTCCTGAAGAAATGCCATTATTTTATGTATTAACTATCAGAGAAGTCCAAGCGAGTCTTACGGATCCTGTGTACTGTATTGGTTTTAAGTGCTTTGTGTGAAAGGTCAAATAATGAGAACAATTTCCTATAGTCTTCTCTGAAATCCCTCAAATTTCTGCTGACATGTTCATTAAAAATGTGCAAGGAAAGGCTATTGCTAAATATTCATTTAAACCTTTTGCTGTGTTCTCTTTATTTAATTTCCTTCCCCTGTTAGCTACCAGGATGTTTGTATGTAAATACTTTTCCTGCCTGACTCATCCTGCAGAGTTGGAGGCCAGTGTTCGGATCATCGTCTCTTTCTCCAGAGGGGCAAATTCAGGCCACTTGGTTCATCTAGAAATACGGAGTAGGAGAGGCTCCAAAGCTCTGGCAGCCTGCTCCGTCTGATTTGAAAACTTGTCAAGTTCCCATTTCGTAGGTCCTCGGTGATTTGCTGTAGAAATGGTCAGACTAAAAGATCATGAAAATGCCATATGACCTTCAAAAATAACATAATTCTAACCAGGCAAAAAATAAATAAGAACCACCCCCCAAATCCTATTAATTTATCAGGTGAAAAATGAGTGGTTGGTATTTGTTTCAGCTGATGTGGTTGATATGACCCACTTTATATTCAGTACAGCCAGATAATACTGTTAATTCTGCTTTTACCATATTAAGTTTTATAAGATTTCCTCTTCTCAATTCCTCTCTATCCTCCTGCCAAATGCATATGAATTTTGTTCAGGAGCATGAGCAGTAATGTTATGAATACTGGATTGTGATGTTACCAAAGAAATTAGGAGGATGTAGAGTGAAACTGTCCTCTACGCAGAAGAACATTTGCTCTGTACAGAAATACATCAGTGAAGCAACTTTTGGAAAGGTCATGCAGGGAGCCAGCAGGACAGTACAATGTAATGGGTGTTTGGCTTTGGACACTTAATAATTTCATTTGCTCTGAATATTGTCTCTGCACTGCTGGTTTTGTTCAGAGACAAAAGTCTGCTCCAGCCAGACACCTTGCAGTAAAAGTGGCCACAAGGCATTTTAAGGATTATTTTAGTGTATTCAACCAAATTGTCAAGCAGGTCCTTCCTGGCTTTGTTGGTAAACTGAGCTGTTAACTCCTACAAAAGCCAGGGTAACAATTTGTTTATTTCAGAGGTCATACTCCTTTTATGCACTGGCTTAAGGAAGTAGTACATGAAAAGGAACTAATTAATAGGAACAAGTCCAGTAGATACTAAGACTGTAACAGGATAAATACCACCAGCAGAACTGCACATTGTAGTTGATCCTTGAAACATGAGTGGGTGAATGGATTCATACAATTTCTCCATGAAATCTTTGCTATCAGAATGTGTCTGGAGAGGCAGTGTGTTTTAGTAATTTCCCCTATAAAGTTTTGGTTTAGCATCTTATGTTGCATTTGGAAAGAGAAAATAAGAAACTAAAGCAGAAAAATCACTGCTGACTGTTAAAATTAATTATATAATTAGTAATGATATGTCCTGTGCCCAATCTGGTTTTAATTTTGCTTCCAAACAAAAACTGCAATGAATCTTGTTTTCATGGAAGGAAGCAGATGCCTGAACAATTTACAACAGATGCAAGGTTAATGTAGAGGTGCCAGTGGTCATGGCCAATATGAAATCCTTATCTGTTTAAAAAAAAAAAAAAAAAAATTAGGTGCTGACTCTTGTCAGTGTCTATAGTATTCTAATCACATTTTTGTATTTTCCTCAAAGCTTCTTTCTTCTAACCCCAACAGCAGAAATGTCCGTGGTAGAAAATACTGTAAAACCGTTACAGCACTTGTCATAGACCAGAACTAGAAGAGGAGGGGAAAAAGTCTTTTACACAGTTTTTGTGAGTGCTGTTTCTAATAACCCTTTAAAAAGGCAGTATAAAAGTAGCATAACACTTAAAATCGACTCTGTCTCTTTAGGGAAGTTAAAGCCAGAAGAGTACAAAAAATGAGGAACCACTTACATAAGTCATAATTTCATTTATGCTTGCTCTGCTTTTTCTAATTCCATTTTGAGGACAAAGAAGACTCGGTATTCTGCTAGTTGATATTAATTTTGTGTTCTTTTGTTTTATTGCTATAGCGGCAATAACATCAGCACCTTTATTTAAAGAGCAGTACTTCTGAACTAACAAAATCCAGGGGTAGAACTTACGCCTTTGAATTACCGTGGTGTGCAGACTCGCCTTTCCTCTCTTACCTCGGAGACTGGCTTGTGATTAAGCAGAGAGGATGGGTCTGGGAGCTGGGACGCAGATATTACTGTCATTACCCAAGTTGCAGCCTCCAGGCGGTTCCATAAGGCACACGGAGGGACTTTTGTGGTTTCCTTTTTAGTGGAAGTTGTTGACTTCGTTACAATGTGATTTTATTTCCATTGCTCCAGTTAATGTTTTCCCTTACCATCCCGTCTCGCCTCTGTGACATACTGTGCAGTCTACTCCCTCACACTTAGCTGTTGGTCTGCCCGGGTGATCAGTACGTTGCTGTTCTGCGAGCGTGCAGAAACAGCAAACAAAACAACCCCCCCTCTTGTACCTGCTCGGTTCCATGCCCTGGGAATACTTGTTATTCTAAATGTAAGTGTATGAAATCTGTGCCAAGACCAGGATTTTTTGGCGGGTGGGGTCATTAAAGCCATGGTTTATTCTAGCACAGAGAGATATGTTTTCTGACCTTGTGTGTTTAAGCTAGCATTTAAAAATATGGTATTTTCTGATTTTTGTGAGAATGCTAAACTCTTAATATTTGCCTAGTTTCTAGGAAGCTTCCACTTTGCACTTAAAGGCTAGTTAAACGCCAAGCTGTCTTTTGCTGTAGAAGCAGTAAACACAGAGGTGCCGTGCTCGTCTCCAGTGTAACGGATGTGTGTTTTCTCTTGCTGACTCACCAGCAGACACAGTCTTTGTATATTCACAAAGAACTCATGAAGAGGACTTTAGGGACACCCACGTGTGCCGTTGAGGCTAGGGAATATGTTGTAAGTCCGCGTATGGTGTGATCCGCCCATACCGTTGCTACACAGTCGCTAACCCCACTTACAACGCCATTAGAGTGTGCTGTGGAAATGTGCTTTGTAAAAGATAACAGGCAAATTTGGTGGGAGGGAAGTTGCAGCTTACTGTGTTATGTGCAGGAAAGATACGTCTGCTAGTTCTGGAAATGCTGAAATTGGCACAATTAAAGTAGCTGGACCTGTGAAATTCAGAGTAAGTACTACAAGCAGGTTCCATGCATTTACTCTAAATTATTTTATGAATGTAGTCTCGAGCATCATGAGCCAACCCCTGATTTACAGCAGTGCAGTGACATGTTCTGTGTCTTGGTCGTGGAGCACTCCATGGAGCTTTCTGAAGCTTCCCTGAACATCATTGCAGAGTGTAATGATGATAGTTCATGGAATCAAGACATGTGACCTCTAAATCTGATACCTGGATAAAGCGGAGTATGGGGAGATTGTTACAGGACCACTAAGAAAGAAAATTGCCTCTTGATTGTATGGAAGTCCAGTGATTTACTTCAACCGTGTTTTCTGTAAGTGAGGTTAGTGTCCGTGACTGTCCAATAACACATGGACTTGCTGGCTTTCATGCTCTCTCATGTGTTATTGAAGCTTGTGGCTCTTAGGCTCTTCACTTTTTCCCTGTAAGACTAAGCTAGACTTGTTCTAAATTGACAGCTTGAAACAGATTTGCTCATTTTGAAGAAATGCAATTTATTTGATCATGTGGGGGGAAAATGCCCCTGTTCTCCCAGGAGCTGTGAGCAAGTTTCTAGCTGTGAAAACCCAATAGAATTGGCAAAAGTAGTTATTTAGTGTTTAATGCAGATTTATTTTCAGTCTGCTTATATTTGTTTCTAGAAACTGAATTGCTCTCGTGTAAAATTATGAATACATTTCAGAAATGGAAAACTGTGAATGTGACTTATTTCAGCATTTCATTGTTTCCAGTCTATGACCTGCTTTGTTATTTGTGCTGGTTATAACAATCCCTGATGTACTATTTGGAAATGCTATTAGTAAGTTTTCTATTTTTGTCATACTTAACAGCATAAGAATTCGGCATACAGTGTCTATAATCCTTTTCAAACTTGCTGAATTTACAGCAAAAGAATAGTCTTGATGCAGATGATTCTTCGCAGTAGTATAGTGCCTTTAGAGTGAGTAGTGTTTAGAAACTAGCGCATGTAGCATACATTTGTGCCTTTTATAGAGTGCTTCATAGGTAAATATTTATTCTGCACCATGAGTCTTGTCTGTATATATGTACAAGGATCTCAATTTGTGCTGATCATGTCTATGCTAAAGTTCACAGGAGTGCTAAAGCAATTATGCAAACAAAAGCTGCCTATGCTGAATTTCTTCAGCAGTGTATTTTAGCTCATCCTTTCTCCTTCCTGTATGATTATTTTCTCAAATGGATTGGTTTTATTTGCTTTTTTTAATGGCCTCGTAGCTGAGAGAGTGAATCTGTTCATTGCACTGTGATTATCATCATGCGTTTACTTCCTAATGGACTGAACTTCAGAGGGAAATTTAACTGCTGCGTTGTCACTAAATTTGTCAGTTCAAGTGGAGTGTTTCACTGTTTATTGCAAGGCCATACGTTTTCCTTGAATGGTTGACATGTATTACTGTACAAATTCTGGTAACTAATGGTAATTGTTACGTTTGAAAGATGTGTATTTCTTAAATCATGCTGTCAAAAACATCGTAGGGATGGAGCCACCTTTATGTATTTTAAATCCAAAACTAAAGAACTGTGCTTTTGCTAAAAATGGAGCGTCTGAGAGCATCATATTCAGGAGCTGTTGGTGGTAAAATAACGGAGAACTCTTGAATGGAAGGAGGTTCAGAAGTCTCACAGTACAGATCATTGCCTGGAGTGAGAGGCGTTTTCCAACTTTCACGTTTCAACTGTCTTTAACACCGAGCACATGCGTTTATGCACTTACAAGTTTGTTGCGTAGTTCGAGTGTTTTCACAACTGCCCACAAAGAGCTGGTAGGACAGGCACAGTGCAGATTGCTGGAGGAGGAGGCTGGGTGTAGTTTTGATTCTCCCTTTAAAATCTGGCTTTATGTCTTGAACAGCAGCCGACTTGTGCTCCTTGGCACAGAACAGAAAAGCACTGTAGTGCTGTTAGTCTCCCTATCTCTTGGAAAACCTTCTGAATTGGGGCTGTCATAACGGCTTGCAACGCTAGAAGAGGCTTTGGTAATTTTGGTGGTCGGCTACCCAGGCACATTTGGCCACCTGGCAGTTTTTGAGGCCCGCCGGTGCTGTTGAGAGCCGTACGTGCAAGTGCTGTAGGGCAAAGACAAACCGTGCTGCTCCGTAGGCCTTGAAGCATACACTTCACTTTAGTCTCTTACTTTCCCAGAGTAACTAAAAGATAATGTTTTGGCTCTGTACCAGGAAATGCCGTAACCTTTGAAGAATTAGATCATGTATAGCATTTAAGGAGCTTGAATAATGTCTTACTGTGCTGTCATAGAATCAATTTGGTGTAAAGAGAAGAGGAGTTTTTTTCCTTCTTGGTCCTGACCTTGTCTGACTGTATGGCCAAAGTATGTTTGAGACTGAGTATTTGTTTTTGAATTGTTCAAGAACATGAAATGACTTTATGTGACTGCCCGGACAGCACTGTACGCAGTCAACAGGGATATTTCAGGGACGTTGTCCTTTGGACATAGGCCTGAGAGATGGGAAATCGCTGGAGATCGCTGGATCCCATCATGCTTCTGGCAGCTGGAGGCCAAGTGCAGTACCTCACCTCTTCGCTGAGTTTTGGCTAGGTGTTATCCCCCCTTCTCTTAAGCCCTTGCACGAAGGGGCTGATGCTCGTGACTGCATTTCAGCACATTTTTGATCTAAAGTGACTTGCATACATTTGTAAGTTCCGAGGGGTTTTTTTCTACTTCAGAGGTGTTACTATGTGAAAAATCTCTTTTGTAGCTGCTGTAAATAAGGCAATCCAGGCCAGACTTTCACCTGCAGTGCTAAAGCACATGTGTAGAGGTACAACACTCTTCCATTTCTGTTTCTGACAAGGAAATGGCAGCTGACTGATAACGCTGGCCCATCTTGTGAACTTTTGCACAGATCTGTTAGTGTTACCCATTTTGCCTTCCAACAGCAAGGGGATTATGTGTCATTTTATTGTAACATCAGTCTGAAAAAGTTCCTCTTCTACTGATGCACTGTTGTTTTTTCTCTTTCTCCCCCCACCCTGTATCTCTCCAATTTTTACATGAAGCTTTCTCTCAAGCTGGTAAGCACATTTACAGCATGCCTGTCCTGTGTTCTAATCACAATTTTCTGTGTGTGTTTTAATGTGCACTGTGCCACATATGACATGACACTGAAATTAACTGTTAAATTTGTTTCTTCTTTGTGTTTGCCTTTTTTTGATATTTATCAGATAACTCTGAATACACAGGTCTGGAGTCTAATAGAGGTGATCAGAATTCAGTCTTTCTAATAAGCTGCTAAAAAATTAACTCTAATACATAGTTTAGTTTTCACTTTTATAATCTAGGGCTATGAAAATGTAGAAAAACAGTATCAAGTAATTCTGCAACTGTATAAGTATACTTTAAAACATTTAAAGAAAAAAATAATAAAGGTCTCTGTGCTTGCTGGACCTTTTCCAGAGAGAAATGCATGTCTTTTGTGTAACGTAGCTGCAAAGTTTGCTTTCCATGTCCAGGTATTACTGGAAATCTGCATCATTATTGCCTACATTTTACAGCCCTATGTAGTCCTTCAGAATAACTAATAATGTTATTAATTAAAGTTCTGTAAACCTTAACCAACAAGGTTAACTCAGTCTGATTTGAATTTGCAAATGGAGATATATATATATGAATCCTAAATTCTATCTTGGATGCAGCTGGGAAGGTTTCTTGAACTACGGTAAGATAATATGTTACTGAGTTGGAAAGGGAAGGGGTGAGCATATTTGGGCAAGTAAATTATGTGCTGAACTTCATACACAAGGTACCGTACTACTTTGAGATACTCCACACCTTGATATGTTCCTGACAGCTTGTCTATATCCCTCTGCCCTTCATGAGCCTAGTTACAAAGAGAATGCAGCTGGTTTGCTGACCCACTTCATGCCAGCATGCAAGAGCCGCAAACGATGCATTGCAGTTTCAGAGAGCTTCAGAGGATCTGCGCTAGCGCCTTAACTGCATTTGCTTGAAAGTTTTCTTATTCCTCACCAGTCAGTGCCTTTAGGTGCTCTCTGCCCCCTACACATACATTGTTCTTGGATACGTCACTGTGGACCGGTTCTGTTCGTAGCAGTGTATTTGGAGGAAATGCATGGGCCAGGAAAGCTACCTGCTGTAGCCCTGGAGGTTTCAGGTCCTGCTGCTGCTCCGTCAACACAGTGTCTTGCTTGGGCTCTATTAGCAGTATTGCTTCTCACTGGACACCTGTGGTGGGCCTGAGGAATGATGGAAATCTGTAGCTTACTTGCAAACCTTGTTCTTTTGGCTGGTAGTCCAATGCATTTATACCAGGGATTTCCATTCATCGTTTTCCTAGTCACGGTGCTAGTATGTTGTGTAGCTCAGCTAAGCCTTTGTATGTAGGAATAAATCCTTCCAAAATAAATGGCTGACCTGGCCTTTCCCCAAGAATTGCACAAATGAAAAGGATGTGCAGAGAGGGCTGAGACCCATGCACGCCTCGGGCAGAAGAGATCGGCTTGTTTGTAATTTCCTCTAGGATCCTAGCTGTACAAGAGCAGAATCTGGGGCTGATAAACCTTGTGCTCTCCCTATATGTAGCTTCAGCCCAGAAACTGGTCCTAACACAGCCTTGTTTTTCACAGTCCTTCATCTTAGGACAATTTGCATCCTAAATCCCAGTATCTCTATGCAAGGAAGTCTAGTGAGCACTGGCTCTGCTGGTCCTATGATAACATGTCAAAAAGAGCACAGATCTCCCCCCCACCTCACTGTTGAAGCATTTCTAAAAATGTAGGCAATGTTCTCTACTTGAGAGATAGCCCCAGGTGTGTTTTAGTTTGAGAGCATGAAATAAATGTGCCCAGCGTGTGCAAAAATTGCTCCTTGAGTCTCCCTTTTGGAAGAGGAACTGTAGCTTCTGTTATGATAGGAAACTATCAAGCATGGAATAAAGTCTGAGTGAGATCACCTCCTAGTCTCAGGCATGCATTTCTATGCAACACTAATGCTTTGGTCTGAAGCATTGTGAACAAAGCTACTGGATTTAGTCCAGCCTAGAGCTTTTGAATGAAGTTGAAGAATCAAAAAGATGATGCTTTTTCAAATTTGTTTGACTACACCTATTGCATTCTCCTAATGTATAACTGGGGATATTTTCAAGCGTATCTGTCTCCTCTTAGAATTGAGAAGTATGTTACATAGTCTTTCCTGTAACTGCTTGTTTATTTATAAACCTACGTCCAGATGCTTTGCCCTAAAAAGATATGTATGGCTTTAGCATGTAGATTATCCGTAAAATGTATTGAATCACACTCATGTCTAAGTGATGTGGGAGTTACTATCAAGCAAAATATTATTATCATTAAAGAATGAATTAAAATAGATCTCTCCTGTACCATGCACAGCAGGTGATGGAAGCGCTGCGAAGACTTCATGTGGTGAAAGTTTCAGAATGAGTGTAACTTAGTTGTTTCCTTAATTTGTCTTAAATTTGTCTTCTTGTCTTGTGAAATGGAATTTTTAAGTGTATTATTACACAGATGATCAGGGCTTAACTAGACGCGTATGCTGTCTTTTACTGAAAATCAATGTGGCAGCAATTTCATTAGGTTGCCTGTTCTGTTATTTTTGAAATGGCTAGACCAGAGAAGATGACCTGCTTGTGGTTGTCCTCCATCCCTCTGACACCCACACACTTTCTTTCTAAACAGCTTGTTCTGCAAATGCAGAAGAAAGACCACACTGTCTCGGAGCACATTCAGTGCAGAGTTGAAAGGGTCTAATGGGCAGCTTTTGTGGCAGTTTCTACTAAATCACGCTCCTTGGAGAGAGATTTAGCATTTTAATAAGACTAATGTTGCAACTCTGCTCACAAGCTTTCAGTAAGCTGCTGGGCCACTGAATTTGCTTACTCAGCTCTGTGTTTTTACCCTTCTTTCTCCCATAGGCTGGTATTCCACCTTATAAATGAGACATGGAATGAGTAGAAACCAGAACAACAAAAAAAAAAACCCTGTACAAATTCAAGAAAATGTACAAGAACCTCATTCCTTATGGTGCAACTAATTAGTATTGATGTGTGTTCAGTACAGCCCACCCAAACTGTCCCCCTTGCCCTCTTGCAAGACAAAAATAGGTAGTAGTTTGAAGAAAATAGTATGCGTGTATTTTGTGTCATCTATCTGCTATATTAAATTGAGGCAATCAAGAAGAAGCATAGCAGTTTGAAGGCAGAAAAGGGGTTTTCAAGCAGAATCACGCAAAGGTAACCACTGCGGTCTTCAAATGTTTTTTTTCAGTTATGATTTCAAATTGATTGATTCTATGGCTTGGATAGAACTCATGATTTTTATGCTAGAACAAGTGAGAGAGGAAAAACTGAGAGACTTTGACATGGAATGTGGATCCTGGAAAGTATGCAGCACGGTTTTAAATTGCAGAACACCAGAGGAAGCACTTCTGTTAACTTAGTGCATTCAGGAGAGCCCTAACATAAATTAACTGTATTGGGCCAACACTCAGACTACGCAGACCAAGCCAGCAATTAATAGCGTACATGAGAAGCGCGGCTGCGATGCAGGAGTAAAAGCTAGCAACTGCTTTTATGGGGATGCTGTTTGTAGCACGGTAAGGGAAGGCAGGAAAGATCAGCATAAGAATGGAACTCTGTTAAATAAAATCTGATTTATAACTATGGATACAAATAGATTCTTGACTTTGCCGTTGAATTCTGGCATTCTTTAGTTGGTGATCTCCCATTAGCCATTTCCTATGAAAGTGGGATGTGGTCCTGAGATTATTTCTAGGACATCCAGATTGCTAAGAGATAACTCTCAGTACAAATAATAACAATGCTTCAGACCACTGTAATTTTGCACAGACTTTTGTGAGCTGTTTTCAAAATGCAATCCTGAAGGATTCTTCAGGCTCTGATTTTTTCTTCTTTTTTCTTCCATTCCACTCTGTGCAGGGAGCAGGGCCAGAGGACTTCAGCAATCTCCCACCTGAGCAAAGAAGAAAGAAACTTCAGCAAAAAGTTGATGAACTAAACAAAGACATTCAGAAGGAGATGGATCAAAGGTATGTCAACCCCCTTCAATGAAAAATGAAACAGGTGGTCTTATATAGGAGAACAGAAACAAGTAATATATAAGAAAGAGCAAATAAGGACAAGGTTCTAGGTTTGCTTAAGGTACTGTTCCAAGAAAAAAAAGAACCAGAGGTTACATACGACTAAAAACACCCAAGAGATGCAAGGCTCTGCACAACTCAGAATCTGAAATTGGTTATTTAATTTTGGCTGATGTAGGTCCGAGCTGGGGCAAAAGCTGGCTTTCTCTTTGTTCCATTCTCCCACCTCAGTGTAATGCATATCCTGTCTTGGGGATCATGAGAAGATCCTAGTATAAGGATGGGAATGATACAAATGAAGCAACTAGAGACAATTTTTCCTTCTTTCTTGGGCTTTCACAGAAGAGCAGCAGTTTGTCAGCCAGACAAAGATTGCTGTTTGATACACTAAGTTTGTTTCTTGATGTGAGCCGTTCCTGAGGGTGTGTTTTAGGAAAGTACAGGATGTAAATACAGCCTCAGTCAAAGGTATGCTCACAGACCTTTCAGCACTAAGCAGAGCACCTGTTACTGTATGATGGGCATGGGTAGATCCCAAGAAGAGAGGCTATTATGAGCATGATAACATTGTCAAAAGTGCTGATTGATTGGTGTGCATCTTAAGACTCTCTGATCTCTAGCTTACATTTCCTGGAAGCAGAAAAATGACTCCTGTGCTTTTGTGGATGCCTTTTCTACAAGGCTTCATTTATCATTCTGGTCAAGAATACAGCTATTTTAGTTACGTATCTTTTATTGATTCTGGCAGCCTGTATTTGTTGCTTTGTGTGTGTTCACATTCTGTAGTTGCATTAAAGATTCAGCATGTTATGTTTGCAAGAGACAGAACTTTTCTTCCCTGAATGATTTCAAGACTTAGCCTCTCCAGCACTAGTCTATCTCTAAATATTGCTTTGCATTTTTACAGATGTGCCTACATTTTCTGCTAACTTGCTTTGAAGAACCCATTTATTTGGTCTAGTAACCCAAACTTTCTTCTTTATGTTTTATATCATGAATGAGAAGGGAAAACTGCACATGATTATATGATTTCTCACTGCATTGGGTTTTTTTCCTCTGTGGTAACTTTTGTCTCTGTACAGATTTTGCTTTCTGCTCTGTATTGGTTCTGAGGTAACTCAACGTTAAAATCGGATAAGAAATCAGAGCAGAATGAGGTTATTTTAAATAAAGATAGTCTATGGTTGAGGAGGTAGCACCAGCAGTTAAATAAGAGTTAAAAAAATACTAATAATCATGACTCATATGTTTGCAATATTGTCCCTTAGGGCTTCGACCACAGAGGCGTCCCATTTCCTTGCCACCCACGCTTTTTCCCATTTTCGATACGCACAAAGCAAAGGCAGGCACAGGATTGCAATTGTCAAGAGTTTGGTGGGAAACTCTAAAATATAGGGAGTGTTAACTTGAGTCGTGGGACTTGCATTAACCTTTCTCACCCCAGCTAATGCCTAGAGAAAAGCTGAATAGCCGTGCCAGTAATACAGGAAATCAGCTCGTAAGTCCACCCTTCTCTAAGCTCTGAAATGTTCATCATCATGCAGATAACTTTTTTTCTTTAAGTTCAGCCTCAACTTGACTCAGGTCAAAGGCAGCACATTGCTGCCAGTGAGAGCTCCACAGGCTTTCCTAAGGGAGCTCATGAAGGCATGTACTATGTTAATCTTCGCCTTACAGTGCCACATTCATCATAGCAGGCCTTAAAATTAACATCTCTGAAACCCTAGGCGTTTGGCATCTGGGCTGATACGAAACACAGCCCCCAGAAAGAGTCTGGTAAAAACGCTGGATAACTTAACAGGATGCAGGGTCGCATTATGTGGCCTGAGGTCTATCTGTCGCTGCGCCGTGACAAATGCAAACCATCTGGATTTAGCTTCGTTTTAAGCAGTGTGAAATAAATACCTTACAAATGATTTGGGTTGCAAAAGACAAACTGCAATAGGCAGGGTGAGAATTTCTGGTTAGCACTCCATTTATATTATTAGTAAGTCCATGTCCAGCTCTTTGTCCCAGTTTCTCAACTGGATTTCAGCCCATGATGGAGAATAATGATGCAACTATTTGTCTGTGCCCCAAAAACTGGGATGATATTCATCTAGAAAGCTGAAGCTGTCATTCATTGCAATGGTTGCAAGATTTCCCGCCCC